GATTACTTGTATTTGCTTAATTGTTTACTAAATGTTTGAGGTGTGAAATAAACCGCAATGGAGCAAAATAGGTGTGTGTGTGGTTGGAGGATGTGTTTGTGCGCGGGGGGCGCGAACATTATTCTTGTAAAACAAAGGGGGGCCTAGCAAAAAAAGTTTGGAAACCACTGCACTAAAGGAACAGAAGAAAATAAGGTAGAGCTATCATCAGCTGAATGTATAGAAAATTACTAATTTCACGCCACTAAATAGATTATAGTGAGAAACTGACCCAACTGCCGAAAACAGAAACTCAGAGGAGACATTAATGTCTATGCAGTCTAATCACTGTGGCCGAGCTTAATGTAAGTACACCATGATGTTACAGAAACACATCAGCATCAGCATGTGTTGGTTAAACTGTCGAAAGTATAGATTTTTATGTTACTGCCTCTTTATAACGGGCAAATGAAAATAGGCTTCTTGTTGCTGTTATTCATTAGAATTGCCCCGATGCTCTCCTGGGCCCCCCTTTGGCCCCTGCTGGAAGCTTCAGAGGGAAGCTGGGTGTTGTGCTCATTTCTCCCACCTTCATATCTTTTCTGGTCCAGATGTTCAGGGGTCAGTGAAGCATCACATCCTGAGACACAGGTTCTGGCTAAAGTGACTAATAGTGAGCTCATCCCCACTTGAGCTTTTTCCAGAAAGGATTCAACGCGCTGTCTCGCTTCTTTGGGTAAAAGACCTGGCTCACACTCATCGACCGTGACTGCGAGGACAGAACGTTCACTGACACTGAGGTCCCTGTATTAGGACATGTCTGTTATTAAAGACATCATGATGCCATTTTTAACTAACCTGCTGCTCAGTGAAGAGGCTGCCTGATAGCAGGCGTGAGGGAAATGATACAGCACAGAACTACAATATTGTATCCACCAAACAGATTTTATTAAATATTAAAATAAACAGTAAATATATATTGAATTGTTTAGTAGAAGAATGATAAATCAATAGTTTTTCTTAAAGGTGGTGCAACAAGAAGGGCGTGGGTTTGACTCCAGTGTGTTCTCTCAGTCCACAGACATGCACGGGGTCAGGCTATGTGTATCCTGCTCCTCACATACAAGGTCTTAAATAATCAGGCCCCATCTTATCTTAATGACCTTGTAGTACCATATCACCCTATTAGAGCACTTCGCTCT